TTTGAAAAGTATTGGCCAGTTATTTTGTAAAATGACCCCCAGTTTGGGCTTATCTAATATTTCCTCATAATTAAACTATGGTTGTCCACTTTCGGCAAGAATACCGGAGAAGTAATGTCATGATTTCTCAGTCCATCATATTAGGAGGCCCATTGTGTTGATTTCTCTCATTACGGGTGGTGTTAACTTTGAGCACATGGCTAAAGTTCCTCCACTGTAATATGACTATACATGAAAGCATTCTTACACTGCCAATGGCTGGGCCACACCATAGACCAATCAAATCAGACCCTCTAGGGATGAGGCACATACATTGATAGGTTTTAAATGCCCTGTAGGTGATTCTAACTAGTATCCAATGTTGGAAACCAACAGCTTAGACAGTGAAGATTAGAATCCTGGAAATCAACAAGGAAGACATTCATTGGGCCTGTCTTTTTAAAAGAACACCCAGTGCCAGGCACAGATAAATATATCTGGACTTTAACATGGACCCATGGTTGCAGAAAGGAAGTCCCCAAATCCCCTGACTGGGAAAGTAATGGGTGAGTAAACAGCTGTCCAATAAAAAGAGAAGGCATGACAGAGAGGACTAAGTGAAGTGCCCAGTCGTCCTGGTCTATTTTCTCTCCAGACCTCAGACAGACCTTTGCTGCAGTGAAAGCACTCACCATGTAATTTTACTATTATAAGCCTAACATGAGCTACTAACTGCCACTGACAGGGAGAGAACTGTGCATCATGTAATAAAAATATACAACCACACATGCAAATATGCACATATCCAGGTACGGTTGAATGAACAATTCACAGAATCCTGGACAGAGGTAAGTGACCTCTATCAAGCAACCTTGTCCTTCCCACTTGGTCTTTTGTCCTTAATCTCTTCTGCAGTAAGAGAGTAAGGATCCTGTTGTAAATTTCATGAAATAGGAAAGTGTATAAATCTCCTGTCACTTGCTGTTGAAGCAATAAAATACTGTGGTCAACTTCCTTAGAGTTATTATCTTGGAGTTGCCATAAGGAGATTTCATCAGTTCCTTCTTTGGAGGGGCCATCCAGTAACATGCGAAAGGAAACAGCAGTTTAACCCAAATCCAGAGGCAGGAGGAGCCTGATGAGAGCTCTCTCTAAAGCATTCACAAGACTACCAGGGTCTGGCACTGCTGGTGCAGGAAAAGATGCTCTAGGCAATAACTGAATAAAAAAGACAGTAGCTCTAGCACTCAGGGAGTGCGTAAAAAGGAATGAACTCAATCATCCCTCAGGTATCATATAGCCAATATCCTTCAGGTCTCTCTATGGATTCTCACTGAGAGGGCTGGCACATAATCAAATGCTAACACATGGTGAAATAATTTATAAAAGGGTGAGATCCATTGGGTCAGAAATGGCTGGGAAAGGTTTTGTGAAAGAGATGGGATTCAGGTGAGGTCTTTGAATGGTTAAGCCTTAGGGGAAACCAAGACACAGAGAAATGTAATGAAAGGGAACCAGGTGTCAGGCATCATTGTAGATGCTAGTTTTCAAAGGGATCTTAGGAATGAGAGTGGGTTTGCATATGTCATCTCATTTATTCTTCTCAATCACCATATGGTCTTATTTCAGAGGAGGACGCTGATCCTCCAAAAGGTGATGTAATTTGCCAAGGTTGGTGGCAGACCTGGTATTGAAAACTAGGTATGTCTAACTCCAGAGCCCTCTGTAAGGAGGCCTAGAGTAGATGACAGACAGGACACAGATGAATTTCAGGTTTCACCCACAGGGCTCTGATGGAGGGAAACAGGGTGTTCTGCAGGCCAGCATCCTCTCACTAAA